CCGCGGAGCGTCCCGCAGGCCGCCGCCCCCTCCACCCTCCGTGTCCCTTGGCCGGTCACTGCCACCGGTGGCTTCCATGTCCCCTCGTCGCCCTTAGCTCATCCCCGTTTTTGGCACAGCTTTGAACCTTGTATGTCAGTCAAACGCAGACGTCACATCTTGCACTAATTTCTAGTTTCCCTTACTTCAGCGCACGTTGCTTTTTAATGATGAAAGTTCCCAGCTGCTTTGGGTTGCCTTTAGTTCGAAACCAGGCACTGATGGTTTTGCCCAGCTTCACATTCTGTGGTTCGTACAATGATAATTGTGTCAGACTCTAAAAGTACAGCTCACAAGTCCCTCACTTGGAACATGATTGGCTTAAACATTGGCTTGTTGAGGACATTCTTAATTACTAAAGTCCCTACCATGTACTTAAGAGAATTAAAGATGGATGCACACCTGCTTTACAAAGAATCAAAGCTAATTGTATGCACACACACAACACACACTTTAAAAAAGTAGACAGCCGATTAATACTTTATTCTTCATTTCCAAAGTAGTTAAGAAGTACTTTTACTTCACTGTGATTTATAGAGATACTACAATCTAATGCTAATTGCTTTATTTAACCATACTGTGATAAGATATACACCTGTCTTACTGGGTGATGTTTCTTCTTTAAGAAGATGTGGGTACAAGAGAAACTTTACTCTCAATAACGCAAAAACTTTTCCAGGAGCCCACTGAGTTCATGGCTGCATCCTGGCACACAGATCAAAGTAGGCTTTATAAAATCAAGGGCTGTGGGTTGAGAGAGGCCTACCCAGTGAGCTAGAAAAGGATGGCAGGGTGGGGGTGATCTTTGCATTCTAAAGTGGGATAATGTAGCTAGACTAGTCTTCCCACTAGCCTGCAATGCTTTTGATTTATTTACTCTTTAAAGCAGTTAAAATTACCTAAGATGTAGAAACTCAGATAATAGCTACTAATCTGACAGATAAATTTAAATACCAAAATGAGAATGTCTATGTTAGACACCGTTAGGGATAACACTAAAAAGAAGTAACTTTCTCCATAACCCCTAGGACGATTGATTTTTAAAAAGTGTCTGAAGAAAACCCAGCAAACACTCTGAATGCCATTCATCACAGTCAATACAGCAATTCCGACCATTTGGCACTAGTGTTTACCTTCCCATTCTAATGTGTCTCTACCTACTTTGCTAGTTTTTCTACACAGCCTCCACCAGTGTTACCCTCTGTAGACAAACCACCCCATCATCTTTCTGTAAGCTGCATTCTTCTCATACTAGAGCACCCTGTTCCTTGCCACTGTGTAAAGCAAATGCATGAACTTTAATCTCTTCCCTTGAGAAGCTGTCCGACACATTCTCCTTGTCCCTAAGGCTTCATTCATGCATTAAAACTTTCGTGAAAGGATAGTTTAAGGGAATATGAAACACCTTCTGCTGTCTCTCGGCATACCTCTAGTGCTAGTATGCAATTACTGCTTGCCAGTGCTGTGACATCCTCCAGACAAAGGAGGTAGCATTTACCTGTTTCCCAGGACCTGGCATAGCATGCCCTTCTTCTTCTTCTTCTTCTTCTTCTTCTTCTTCTTCTTCTTCTTCTTCTTCTTCTTCTTCTTCTTCCTTCTTCTTCTTTCTTCCTTCTTCCTTCTTCTTGAAAACATGTTGGGAACACTTCTTTGAAAGTAATGTATACACTTGGGGGAAAATCATTTACAAAGTTTCCAGTTCTTCATAGAGTTGTAATGTGTCAGTGGTTTGTATTTTTATTTCTTAGGTTTTATCTTACTAGTTTTATTTTCTGAAAATATTAAAATGACAAAGTTTTAATCCTGTAACTGACATCAGTCTATCATATGGATAACTGTTCTATGGTTCCTTGATTAATTAGTTCCAATTCCTTACTCACCTGTGACATTATCCAGTGGATAGACCATTGAGGGAAATGAAAGGTTTGAATAGAAGATAATTAAGTGCCCTGTCACTATTTTCTTGACCTGATCCACTTTTCATTTTGTTACAATTTGATAGGAATTTTTCTGTAAAACTCAAGGATTAGTAACAGTCAGCTATTACAACTCACACCCATGATTTTTCCCTTTAACATTAAAAAATTTTGCAGTCTGAGCTTCACTCTAAACAGTACCAAACAAACTGTAACTATAAAAAGCACAGTTATGAAGTCCCCAACTCCTATTTTAAAACAGCAATCCTGCCTTCATTTCTAGGCTGGTTTGAAGGGAACATTTTACTGCAAGGGAAAACATCTGTGGAATCTTATGCTCAGTTTTCTGGCTTCATTCTTTTAAAGATTTATTGCTTTTTTATGTTTATGGATGTTTTGCCTGCATGTATGTCTGAATACACTGTGTGCATTCCCTACAAGAGGGGATTGGATCTCCTGGAACTGGAGTTACAGGTGACTGTGAGCTGCCATGTGGGTGCTGGGAATCAAACCTAGGTTCTATGGAAGAGCAGCCAGTGCTCTTAACCTGCCAGGTGTCTCTCAGGCTCCTCTGGTTTAATCCTTTAAATGTGCTGCCTTATCCCATCCTAAGACTGTAGTGAGGTAAATCACACACTGCTGATGGAATCGAAACCTCCCAAAGGGGAAGAAGTATGTTCAAGCTGCACAGTCAGCTTTAACGGTAAAATCAAACCAATCTTTGAGACACTTTCCTCTGCAGCTTCAGCAAGCCCCACTGGGACAGCCTGCCTTCCATCAAACACTGGCCTCACCCTCCCTCAGCCGGTCCCAGCAGGTCTCATCACCCACTTCAGCCACACAGGGTTCAGCCTTCACTGCTTTTGTTGGAAGTAGAACTGAGCTCTTATCTCTGAACACTTCCCTATGAAGGGTAAAACCATCCAGGCTTAGCACTGTAAGCCACAGGATGTGAAATTGCCCTGCTGGCAATGTTTAGATTTGATTAGGAATGAGACTTGGAGGGGAAAAAAAAAGGAAAAACAGTAATGTGTCCAATTAAATAGTTATTTAAAAAATGTTAGGGCATCTCTAAGACACCAGAAGATTATAAAAGAAAAATTCCTGAAACCATAACTGTGGTTAAATTGGAACTCAAATGCAAGGGCTCTTTAAATATGTGCACAGTTACAGTTTTTAAATATTTTCAAAAGGCTAATTGATTATGCAAGAAATTATTATTTACTTAAATACATCAAAATGGTTGCCCACTATTCCTGTACTGGAAAAATATAAAATAGCATTTTAAATAAGTATGAATGACAAGTTTCCAATATACATACATACATACATACATACATTACTTAGCAATTGAAAACTGAGTCAATTTATTGAAAAATGTAACTGCCTTATTAAGACACTGAATTCTTATTAGAAACTTTTCAATTTTCACATGGAAAAATTCTTTCAATTAAAAAAAAAAAAAAAGGTGTTCTCAGAAAGCCATGAACAGTACCTGGCTGGATTGATGCTAACTTTATCCAGTGGCTGACCTGAGTTTCTATAGTTTATCCCTCGAAGTTTCTTCACAAATCAAAGAAGAGTTTTCGAGTCATATCCTTTCATGGATTCGAAGCACTCTAAAGGGGAATTAAACAGATCTAAGAAGAGAAGCTCAGCCCCACTCTGTTCTTCCAGGCTGAGAGATAACGTTGAAGGATGTCCTTGGTAAGCCAAGGTCAGTTTCATCATTTGGCTAGAATTAACTAAAGTTGAATATTCATCAGAAAAATAATGTTAAGACTACAAGTGAATGAAAATGTTTACTTGCAATAAATAGAACAAAAGATTCCTTTTTATTAAGCCTTGCCTAGTGAAAAGGTTGTTCAATATTCTGCTGCAAAACAGTTGGGCCTCGAAGTTTTTGTAGCTCCTCTTTCCTCCGTTGATGCAAAGAAAAGTGATTTCCCTCAAGAAACTGTTTAGGAGATAGGGGAAAAAGAAAACAAAACACCTTAGTAAAAAAATCTATTGGTAGAACAGATCAGTAAGGCTAAAATAGAGACTTGTTAATTAGTCAACGCTTGTTGAAGCATTCCTTTTTTTTTTTTTAACAATGTACGGTATAACATGCAGAAAAGAGAATAAGAAAGGCTAAATATTAGGGAATGCAAGGACTAAATGCAGGTCATGGACATGAATTATGAGAAAAGATATAAAGCTAATTGTTTCTCAAACTCTAACTCTGTCATGGAGCTTTTCTTGATGGTGGTGGGTAAGTGCATAAAAACGTGTGATAGTGAAACAGCAAAAGCCAATGTGGAGCTTGACAGCTTCAGGATGACTGTCCTAACTATAGAAGTTCACCGAGATGTATAGACTTCTGGTCTGGTTAATTTCATCAGTGTAATTTTTTAAATTTACAGGTGCCTTTTTAAAATAACAAAGTTTTAAAAACTGTATGAAATTTCATTTCAGTCATAATTAATATGCATATTTGGGCCCAGAGATGTGAAGCTAGAAAACGGTGAAAATGAAATCTATGGGTGCAATAATTTCAGAAGGACGTCTGTCTTATAAAGTAAGTCACAATCCATATGTATTCCAACCCAATACAATTATAGTTTGTTTAGAACAGGAGACATAAATTATGAAAATAATGCCACAAATAATGGTTAGTTTTCCTGAACAAACCCATAAAATCCTTTATAATCTGTGACAACATCCAGAATGGTTTTTGTTGCACTCTGAGGACTGATTGATGTCAAGGTATCACTTATATGTGTGCAATGGCCTTGGCTGATCCCATTTACAAAATACGTTAGTGGTGGCAGCAGCTGGTAACTGTCCGGTGCCTGTGACCAAGCAAAAGAGAGCCACACTCTATCAGTGGCATCTACTTACCAGCTAGTGTATTCTGAAGTCTTCCTTGTGCCAGCCACAGGCTCTGCCATGTTTCCAGTAGAAAACACATTGAGCCAAAGAGTGTTTTGACTTTCTCTCATACAACAAAACAGCCCCCAATCCTCCTTAAAAATAAAAAGAAAGATAGTTACATTGTAATGATTTCATGTTTACCACTTGCCTTGTAAAACTCTCATTTCCCCAGCTGAAGTAGCAAGGGCGAATCTTTCTGCTATGCACAGTGAGTAGCCATCCAGTCACTCCTAGAGCAGGAAGTATAATTCAACAAGTGTCTTATTCAATAATGGCATTTGGTTGATAAACTAGCTTGGATAAGCTGGATAATTACATTTAGAAATATAGCAAGGCTTTACTAAGCAACAAACAAAGATTTCTACTACATTTAATTTTGAGAACCTGACTTAGACATAAGATACTTTATTATTTTCCCTTTGCTAAATTTTACAATTATAAAATATAACCATTTTTCCCCTTTAAGATGGCGAAATGGTAAAAATCATACTATGCTACAATGGCTTAGATTGTTGTGTCAAAGGCATTGCACCTCTAAATGAAAACTGCAATTTTCATTTGATTCAAATACATTGACATACTTTGCTACCACAAGTTATCAACATTTCCACTTATCTTGCTTCTCCACTTGAGCAATAACTTTAACATTCTTAATTAAAATTTGAAAAATTTTCTCTCTCAGCCTATACTCACTGAGATGAACACCCCCCCACACACACACCACTAAAGCTGCTCGAGACTATTGAGGACAAAGGCCTCCTCATTTCCCAAGCAAGTGCCTTTGATCTTTTGGAGCAGAGTTTCTCAGTATCAGTGCTACTCACATTTTGAGCCAGAGAGTTGCCATAGGAGAGTTGTATGCTTTAGAATGGTTCCAAGCATTCCTGACCTCAGCACACCAACAGCAGCACATAGATTATCAGTTAATGTGTAACTTCACAGAATCAGATTCTTTAATTGACAGCAAATAGCACCAACATGGACACATTCTCCTAGAGAATTAAATGGTGCTCAGATAGTGTTATACAATGCCCTGGCTTGGAGAGTATATGCTACAAGTTGTTTGTTTGTGTGTTTGATTTTGGTTCTTTGAGATAGGGTTCTCTGTGTAACAGCCCCAAATATCCCAGAACTTGCTTTGTAGACCAGGCTGGCCTTGAACTCACAGAGATCCATCTGCCTCTGCCTCCTGAGTGCTGGGATTAAAAGCATGTGCTGTAAGTTCTTAATTTTTAAAGTTTTGGATAATTGTTCTTATGAGTATGTTGTACAATATATCAAACTCATTTTTCTATTTCAATTTTCTTGATACTTAGTATACATCTTGAATCAATGAACCAATATATGGATAAGTAGGAATATTTATGTATCTAAATTCTTCACCTTTCAACTAAAAGACTTGGGCAGGATCCTTATATATTAACAATACACACACACACACACACACACACACACACACACACACACTCTGATGGCAGGTAAGGTAACTTTCAGAGGAGCAAGTACTCCTCACACACACACACACACACACACTCTGATGGCAGGTAAGGTAACTTTCAGAGGAGCAAGTACTCCTCACACACACACACACACACACACTCTGATGGCAGGTAAGGTAACTTTCAGAGGAGCAAGTACTCCTCACACACACACACACACACACACTCTGATGGCAGGTAAGGTAACTTTCAGAGGAGCAAGTACTCCTCACACACACACACACACACACACTCTGATGGCAGGTAAGGTAACTTTCAGAGGAGCAAGTACTCCTCACACACACACACACACACACACTCTGATGGCAGGTAAGGTAACTTTCAGAGGAGCAAGTACTCCTCACACACACACACACACACACACTCTGATGGCAGGTAAGGTAACTTTCAGAGGAGCAAGTACTCCTCACACACACACACACACACACACTCTGATGGCAGGTAAGGTAACTTTCAGAGGAGCAAGTACTCCTCACACACACACACACACACACACTCTGATGGCAGGTAAGGTAACTTTCAGAGGAGCAAGTACTCCTCACACACACACACACACACACACTCTGATGGCAGGTAAGGTAACTTTCAGAGGAGCAAGTACTCCTCACACACACACACACACACACACCCTGATGGCAGGTAAGGTAACTTTCAGAGGAGAAAGTACTCCTGATTGTGAAACATGAACTTGTAGAAAAGCTGGAAAAGTAGAAATCAACTTCTAAAACTAAACAGAAGCTTTGGACTTTGCAGTGAAAGCCAAAATTGTGTCTAAAACTGTTTATCAAACTAACTTTCCTCATCAGAATTTGCTATCTACTGTTTGAAAATCTTTCTAAAGTTAGGCATACTGTATTTTAAAAGTGTTTTGGTGCACTGCTTCTGCTTTGCAGGCCTACTAAATCTTTTAGATCGTATTATAATTAAGGTGGCAAACTGAAAAATGGGGTGCTTACGAGTGTCTAAAACAGCTGGGTTGGCTGTTGATCACCCATACCCACTGACCACTGTGTCTTTGGGTTCTTAGTTCTGATGCAAAGCTCAGGAATATTCTGTTCAAAGCTGATGTTGCATGGACCACCCTTGCATGTTTCTAAGCGATGGTCACCGATACATTTCTAAGATGAAATAGACCCTGTAGACATCGTCATCTACAGGAATTCCCGTGAGCCTGGTTATGCACTTTTAGTCTTTTATGGAAAGTCAAGTTAAAAGGCAATATTGAAATTGGTGTATTGAGAAAGAAATAAAATCTTATTTTGGAATTTTGCTTATGAGAATGCTCCTGGTTTGAAGGTCCTCCCCAGTACCCACAATGAAATCCTCATGGTAAAGTGTTAAACACTGGGACCAGATGAGAAATTTAAGAGGTGTTATGGATTAATCCATCCATGGTGTTCACTTAATTTCTGATATTCAAGATAGCAAGCTCAGTCAGAGAACAGAGGAATATAATGCTAATTAATTTTTGATGAACAAAATGAGTGGTTCATTTTCAGTTTCTCCCTTGTGTATTATTTATTTAATCTAAAAGATGAAAACTTAAAAATATTAAAGAATAGGAATGTTATCCTTCATTAATAAATGATTGCCTATAGAGGTGCCACATTGGTCTGGAAATGTCCTTACTTTTGACCTTAACTACTGCTAAGGTACTTTGATTATCTTCCAGTATTGATTTAAGTTGCTTCCAAATTAGGTTCAGTCCAGGTCTCTTCTGGGAGACACAGTTTGTTTATATCTTTGCTGTAAGGTTCTGTAGCGTGTTTATAAGTTCATGCACTTTGAAAGGATCTGGGAAAGTCACTTATTCCAAACATTTTAAAATGATATTTGGAGTTCTTATAAGGTTCTGCAAACACAGTGGAAGGCTTTGTAGTGGGCACATGGGCTTGTGAACTCTTTTTTTTTTTTTTTTTTTTTTTTTTTTTTAGGGTTTCTCTGTGTAGCTTTGGAGCCTATCCTGGAACTCACTCTGGAGACCAGGCTGGCCTCGAATTCACAGAGATCTGCCTGCCTCTGCCTCCCTAGTGCTGGGATTAAAGGCCACCAATGCCCAGCTGGGCTTGTGAACTCTTAATGCTTGGGGGAAACATGCCCTGTTTGTTCCCAGCAAGAGAGAGCCTTTGCAGGGTCAAGTGACACTGGCAGAGAACTTGTAAGTTTGCAGGTTCAAACCACTTGCAAAAGTAGGAATTTACTTAAGGCAGTGTCTCAGTTTCTGACAGTTAGCCTCCCTGAGAGTATGAGCTTCTTGGAGCATACCTCGAGACTAAAATTTGACAGTGTTTGAATCAATTTCATAACGAGCTAAAGTTATTCATTGTATGGATGGCTAGGAATATATTCTGCTCAGAGGAAATGTACCTATTTGCTTTTTGTTTATCCAGAATACCAGAAACTGAGTGTTTTCCTGAGGTCATCAAGCAGAGCACTGAGTCAGTCACATGGGAGTAATTATGGTAGAAAGACTCAGAATGTAGAGAGGGACTGCAGAGGCAGCACAGACGCTACTTCCCCAGCCCACCTGTGCATCCAAATTTCTAAGGACATAGGATACAAATAAGTCTTCTTTTATTTGCTGTGTACTAGGCAAAGTCATGATGAATACACAGGCTCAGAACTAGTGGCAGCACACAGAGAGGATGGCACTGAGCAGACAAAGGGAAAGCGTGGGGCTCATGAACTCCCAGAAAGAATGGAGACGCCAAATGAGATTATTCTTGCTTCTCCTTGGATCAGTGATAAACCCCTTATCTGAAAACAAGAAATACTGAGTAACTTTAAAGTCAAGAAGCATGTCTTTATAGTGCATGTGAAGAGGTAGCACTCCACTTTTCACCCTGGTTCTGAGTTTCTTCAGGAATAAGTTACCTCAGGAAGACTGCACGGTTGGTAAAGAGGCTAGGGGCTTCATGCACTTCTTATAGCCAAGGGTCAAGAGAAGGGGCAGGACCTCACCATGAGAACCACTGGAATGCTCAACAGCCTGGGATATGGCTTCATATCCAGTTGGAGGTCAACTTGAGTTAGGGATCATTATTAGGCTCCAAATGCCATTAAGTCTAGGAAGTGTCCTGGCTCCCCAGCAATAGCAAAATCAAGTAGAGAACAATATTCCCAAGAAATATTAAGATGTTGCCTAGATTAAAAGCAGATGTGATGGAAAGCTGAAGGCATTCTGAGCACCATTACAGGGAAACAGAAAAGGCAAGTGCATCATAAAAACTGTGCTATTTTGTCTTTAGCAGGATATACTTGAAGGTGAAACTCCTCAAGGAAGCCATTTTGGATTGTGCCGGTGTAGGCCTGCTCATTTGTACACTTCACCTGCCCATACCTAGGCTTCAATGTTTCTACAAATTGGATCAGCGGCAATGGCTAAGAGAAAGAGGACCCTTGATGACAACTTTCACCGAAAGCTGTTCCAATGAAGGGAACATCACAACCAACCTGAAGGGGCACACAGGAGGAAGCCTCGTGAGGAAGCCTTGTTTTGACCCTCTTATGTGTTCTGATGGCAAAAAGCAAGGAGACATGTGGGTTGAGAGAATATGATTGGAGAAAGAGGGCAAGTCCTGTCTGATGTAGGTTGAGAGAGAGCTACTAAATGAAGGCTGGAGTGTTGACGGCTGCATTTCCACACAAAGTGTTAGGGGACCAGAGACCCACTCTGCAAGAGCCTACTTCTGTTAGCCACTGTGCAAGATGGCAATATTTAGGGCCGAACTCTATGCTGATACATCTTCAAGTGTTCTTTATCTTTAACTAAACTTTTATTTTTCAAGCCGAGTATGCTTACATTTTTGTCTCTCACTTCAATATTTTAAACATGTGCCTCAGGATGTTGAGATAAGCAAGCCCTAAGTTGTAGCTATCCCTTCCTCTCAAATTATAGTCTTAACTAGGCATGCTTGGGAATGGCCAGCTCTTGTATGAGTATGAATAGGATCCCTGAATAAAACCCCCATGCTCCCTCTGTTCAAAGAGGGCATCATTTTGGAAACAAAATAATCTCTTTTTGTGGTAAGGCAATAAACCAATCTGTGGTGATATCTTTATTGTACAAATATAGCATGCCTGGAGATCAGAGAGATGGAGGAGCACCTTACCTTGCCAACTTCCCAGCTGAAAAGAGAATGAGTTCCTGTTTCCTCTTGCTCATATTCCTCTCTCCACCCAGCCATCTCACTTCCTGTCTCTGCCCAGACATCTCACTTCCTGTCTGTCTCTTAGCAAGTGGCAAGCTCCACCCTCTGATCTTCAGACACCCTTTATTTGTACAAACAAGATATCACCACACCAATCTCTGTACTTGATGTTGCAGCTGTACTTGTTTGGTTTCGCACTTGCTAACATAAACCCACTGTGTTCAATTTCACTGCTGAGCTACTTGGAACTCACTGCATGAGATTTGGACCTGATAAAACTCTAGTATCTTGCATCTCATCCTATAGGACTATTGTTAGTTCTTTACACAGGAGGAATGAATGGGCTTTCATTCAAACTTAATATAGCCCAGCATCAAGTAGTCACCTTAATGATCCTTAGACACTCCAATGGTAATACTATAGCTAAAGGAAAGACGAGAGACAGTATTGCTCAGTAGACATTCTCTGATAAGCATTATTTGAATCAAATTTTCCCTGGATGAATTGACCAAAATAAATGACCTTATCTTTTACAGTATAATAGTCTTAGTGAGCAAGCTTCACTTCAAATGGATTTCTAATCCATTAGATTAGTTGTTGCTTGCATTTCTTGTGAGGTCAATCAATACTGAAAATTGAAGACAAACTTATTTGAATTCTAATTAAAGTCCTTTTATTAACAATTCAACATTGAAATATTTAGAAGCATGGAAGTTTATTGAGAATGTCTTGTGCTTTCTAGACCATTTCACTCTCCAGAAGCAAAATATGATTTATGATGCACATTTTTGTGTATTTTCCTTGAATATACAGGCATGCTTGTGTGTTATATGTACTATTCAAAACATGTATAATAATTAATGCATCATAGATATAATTTCATTTCTGCCTTTTTCTTTCTGATAACTCATAAGTATTTTGTTGTTAGATATCTAACTAGTCTGTGAATTAGTAGACATCTAGGTTATCTTCAATGTTTTCTATTAAATATTATTTAGTGCAAGTGTATTATGAGGTAGTGTGATGATTAATATTGTCCACTCTAAGAGTCTGAAATCATCTAGGAAACAAGTCCCTGGGCACACACTTGAGGGACTATTGATATCCAGTGAACTCCTGGGCAGGCTAAGGAGGGATAATCTTGGTTAGGTTCCTTTAGGTGGTGAGACATCCTAAAGAAGAGAGGTGCCATGCCTTGAACTTGGGTCTGTCCTGGACTGTATAAAAGGAGGGTGCTAGCTGATCAGGACATTTCACTGTTCTTTGCCTCTTGGCTGCACGGGTAATGTGGCCAGTTGTCTCCTCAAGTTCTTTCCACCATGACTTCCCTGCTGTAATGGACCACACTCTTGAACTGAAAGCTACAATAAACCCTTATCCATTAAAAAAATCACAGCAACAAGAAAAACAGAAAAATGAAATCATCTGCCAGCTAGGGACAGGTTTGAACAGTAGGCATTAATATTTTTATGAACTGGTCCCATTTTCACAGTTAAACCATTGTTTGCCATAAACACATTAAAGAATAGTCTGTTTAAACAAGGATACTGTGTGGCCCCAAATGGCAAAGATCTACTTCCCTTGCTAAGTAACTGAAAACAATTATTTGCCAGGCACACCATTGTCCTAGCTGTAGTATACCCTACCTTCAGGTAAAATTTATTGAGATAAACAACTGTAGAATTTCTGCCTCTTTCTGAGAGTGTGCACTGCAGAGCATAGTCCCCAAAGTATCCCACTGCAAATCAAATCTTGTGTTCATTCCAGTGTCTCTTTCAGGTAATTAATGTAGTTAAATTTAGAATTCCTGGGTCAAAGGGGTAAATGTACAAAAAGGATAGGTAATGCTGAATTGTCCTCCAAATACTGTACAATTGAAAACTGCTAACAGGTTTTCTATTGGTTGTTAACCTTTGGTTATGGTTGTGAAGTTCTTCGTGTGTTATATTGTTTATAATGATCCAGCCTCACCCTCTTTCTTTTCTTTTACTTGCTTGTTTTTCCTTTTAAAGACAATCTCACTATGTAGCTCAGAATGACCTTGAATCCTCCTCAGCCTCCCAAGTGCAAGGCACAGTGTAGCACCATGTCGAGCTTGAACTAAGCATTCTAAAAACAGTGGTTTCCATAAATAATCTCTTTAAAGTCTCTCACAAAATCTGGTTAGTTTTCCCAACTACCCTGTAATGTAAATCTTGTCACTTATATTTTAATTCATGAGAGGAACTGGGGACTGTATGCAGGGCCTTGCACATGCCAAGGGAGCACTCTACCAACTGAGATCTATCTCCTGGCCCACCATTTCCATTTTAGAGATTAAACAGTGAGATGCAATTTGTGTAGTCAAGGGTGAGAAAGTACTCAAATTGTTGTCCCAGCAGTCTGGCTCCAGAGCCCTTGATTATAAACATTGCACCATGGTGTCTCATTACAATTAGTTGGCAATGTTCAAGGTCTACAAAAAACAAAAACAAAACAAAACAAAGGATAAGAACCCCAATCACAGGCATAAAAGAAGGCTAAACTAAATGAAAAGTCGTACTGTGTTCTTGCACACAAAGATTCACTGTTTTAAAGATGTCTGCATAAACTAATTCACAAAATTTCTGTTCAAACCAGTTCATTTTCAGACTTGATCTTAGCATTGAAATAGAAGAATAAACATGCAAATGTAATGAACTGGATAATAATAGTAAAATGAATTAGCTCTCTTGATTATTAAATTTTACTATAAAATAATATAACAGCATACAACCAGTATGGGGAAATCACAAAATTAATGAAAGGGGCATCAGCACAGTAGAGACCTACATACACACAGCATTTAGTAACCAAGGAGAAATAGAGAATTATTAGTAAGGAGGTAGTGATGGCACAATTGACTAACTTTATTAGAAAAACTATTGCCAGATCCCTTCTTACAGTCTCTAAGAATTCTAAATGAATAAAAAAATTTACCATAGAAAGCTATATCATCCCTTTAGGAAAAAAAAACACCCCACTTTATTATGTCTGGCTTCCTTCACCTGACATAAAAATTTCAAGGTTCATTTTTTTCACAGCACATATCAGTGTATCAGTACAACATTTTTATTACCAAGTAATAGTCTATGTTGTAAATAGACTAGCTTTTATTTATTCACCCATTAGTCAATGGACATTTGGGTTGTTTCTACTTTTTGAGTCGCGAATAAAGCTACTACAAATTTCATTTTTATGTGACTGGACAAGTTTTTTGTGACAGCCTTTTTATTTTTAAACATTATTTAAAGGAAAAATATATTAAGGTACAAGCTATATACCTTGAAATCCAGCCACTAAAGTTAAAAAAGGCAATAATTCTTGTTAAATTTATAGAGTGGGGCTGGCAAGATGGCTCAGTGAGTTTTAAAGTCTTGTTGCCACGTCTTTCGACCTGATCCCTGGCTTCCACATGTTGGAAGGAGAGAACCAATTCCCACAACTTGTCCTCCGACCTCCACATGCATGTGGTGGGACATGCTTGTGCCCCCATAAAATAAATTTAATACCAATCAAACAAATTTATAGAGTTGTGTAACTACCATGACAACTCTTCAAGGGGGGGGGGGACTCTCCTTCATTGTTTCTAGAAAGGTAAATTGCTCATATGGAGCTAGACATATAACTGCCATTTGATCTAGCAATCTCCCTGCTACGCATATCAAAGGAAAGGTGTCCAGAAGTGTACTATTCCATGTTTACTGCAGCACTCCCCAATAACCAGGCTATGGATCCACACTGGTGTCCATGGATGGATGAGGAGGTAAGGAGAGATGTGATGTATGTATCCAATACAATGTCATTCAGCCAGAAAAAGAATAACATTCTGACATCAGTGCAAACAGATGAACCTAGACTATGTTAGGTGAAATACGTCAGGTACAGTAAGACTAGCATTGCATGTTCTCACTTAAAACAGTTGATCTCATAGAAAAGCCAAGTAGAACACTGGTTACCAAAGGCTCCTGGATGGGAAGGCTATGATGGAGAGAAACTGCGTAAATGGATATGGGGTTACAGTTGGCTAGCAGTGGCAACTTCTAATGTTCTGTGGCATAGTACTTAAATGAATAGTAGAGTTTCAGATGTTCCTAACACAAAGAATTGGCAGATCTTTGAAATGATTGTTGTGGTTTGAATTTAAAATTATTCCCCCAAGCCTGTGTTTGAACATTTACTTGTTCATGGGCTGGTAGTTATTAGGAAGCTGTGGAGCCTTTCAGTGGTGGGATATAGTCGGCAGGAGGAGGGGTAGGACTCGAGGATTCAGCCAGCTCCTGGTCCTGCCTTGCTTTCTCTGCTTCCTGACCCAGGCCATGTGAGCAGATGTCCACCATCATGACCTATGCCTGCCTTCCCTGAAATCTCTCAGAAACAATGAGCTAGAGAAATATTTTCTTCCAGAACTTCTTACTATTTGGTCACTATACTGGTTAGTTTTATGTCAATTTGACATAAGCTAGAGTCATCAGAAAGATGACTCAATTGAGAAAATGCCTCTGTAAGATCTGGCTGTAAGGCATTTTCTTAGTGACCAATGGGGGAGGGTCCAGCCTCTTGTGGGTGGTGTCATCCCTAGGCTGGTGGTTCTGTGTTTTATAAAGAAAAGCAGGCTGAGGAAGCCACGAGGAACAAGTCAGTAATCAGCAACCCCTCCATGGCCTCTGCATCAGCTCCTGCCTCCAGGTCCCTGCCCAGTGTGAGTTCCTGACTTCACTGCTCTTGACGATGAATTTATATGGAATATGGAAGATTAATTACATATTATTTTAAGTTTAGTGAGCTGAGAAGAGAAAAAGAAAATACAGTGAGTGGGGGAATTTAAGTGGAGCTCAAATAAATCTCTTAATGTTATATGGAACTATGAACAAAATAAACCCTTTCCTCTCCAAGTTGCTTTTGATTATGGTGTTTCATCACAGCAATAGTAACCCTAACTAAGACAATCACAGTGACTCAAAAGTAACTCACACAATGATGGGTATGCAAATTACCCTTGTGAGATCATCACACACTGAATTGAAATGTCATGCAGTACACCACTAAACATACAGTGTGAATGATAAAATTCACAACAAGCATTCTTTTCTATGAATTTTTTAAAAGGTTAAACAGAGCTTTCTCCATCAAAAAACCCAATATTTTTCCTCCCTGAGACAGGGTATGATTCAGACCAGAAAAGAAAGGATGTGGGAAGAAGTGAAGCAAGGGTCTACCTAAGCCACGTCATACTTTTCTGGACTTTAAGGTGTAAAATATCTTGCCCTGGTCCTTTGGGACATTCTCTTTTATTTACTTTACACATTATAGTTATCTCAGCTGCCTGAGGATGGATTTTTCTTGTGTTAGTTATCAGAAGATTAATTATATATTATTTTAAGTTTAGTGAGCTGAGAAGAGAAAAAGAAAATACAGTGAGTGGGGGAATTTAAGTGGAGCTCAAATAAATCTCTTAACGTTTTAGTTTAATTAGTGTGACAGTACAGTCATGTCCTCTAGGGATGACAAGGAAATCCCTGCCTGTAGAACATTCCAGACAAATCACACATGGCTTTGTTAGGAACCCTGACCCCAATGCCTGTGTCTGCTCTTTCCTTCCCACAAGCTAGAACTCAACTCTGCACAAATTATTCTTGTTCCAAAAACTAGACTAAAATTTTTCTTTAACTGCATGTAGGTCTTCCGAAGAAGTGATCATCCTTTGAAATCACAAAATAGAATATTGATTTTCTTTTTTAAACAACATTAAGTTTTGAACTTTATGAAGATTATTAAATAAATGTATCAGTTGTATAGGAAGGAAAGATGAACTCACTTGATTCGTTGGGATTATTAAAAATCCACTTTATAAAAGTACTACCAAACCTTCTCCCAACTTACCAAGTGAAGTTAAGTGAGGTGAAGTTGGGAGTCCCCTGGAATCTCTCTTCTGTATCTTTTGCCATGCTAGTACTGGGAGTCACCAAAGCCTGGCCTCTATGACAAAT